TTAATTATAAGAATTATTCTATTCATTTTTTAAATAACTATTATATATATAATATTATATAGTTTAATAGTTTTTCAAATCGAAAGTTTTTTGTTTTTTTTAATAGCTTTAATAATTAAGATTATTCTCCCTTTTTTATTATTTAATTATATAATAAATGATTAATAAATTGTATATTGAAATTGAAGAATGTAAATTGAGGTAAAAGTAGTGTATACATTGATATAGTATATGTACTGATAAACTACGTTAGTTACTTTGTAAAGAAATTAATAAGGTAATTGATTATTACAGTTTTAAGTTGTGGAAATGTTCATTGTGAATTTCCTAGGGTCGAGGTGGAAAGTTTAATTATATGATGTGTGTTATGTTAGATTCTAGTGAAAGATCATAGAGTAATCAATATAGGGGATATTCTCGCTTCGAGTGATCAATGTCTGTTGGTTAAATTGGAGCTTTGTTCATGAGATAACTATATAGAACTTCATTTTTAATCACCAATTTGGGTGTATAGTAATAGATAACATGAGACATCCCTTTGCAGAAAATTTTGAGTCAGAAAGCCTGTATAAAAGTGTGAGAAAGTCAGTAAGTATCACAAAAATGATGTGTATGAAATTCTTAGGTAGAAATCAGTGAATAGAAAGCAAAACTTACTCAATTTTCTTGAACACGGCCTTAATTGAGGTCGCGAATTGATAAAAGCCGTAGAAGAAGAAGTTTTGCTGTTGAACCAGCGAGGAGATAGGATCAAATTTTGTTGCACATCGTAAAGCGGTGGAAGTAAAGTCACCGAAAGTAGACCGGGTATTACACGGACTTGGACCGATGGATGGAGAGGGAGAGGGTATTACTTTTCCAATCATTATGTTGCATATCGTAAAGCGGCGGACCAAAGTAAGTTGTGGCAATACCATAGATTCTGCTCTTCCGATCAGGCAGAAGGACAAGGCCATGACCAATAAAAGGGGTGATCCGGAAATCTGGACTCAAATGTTGCATATCATAAAGCGGTGGGAGGTTTTTTTTGGGGGGGGGGGGGGGGACCTTGGCATAAAGAAGATTCGTCCAATAAGATAGATAACTCTATTTGGCATTCTTGTTGCATGTCTTAAAGCGGTGGAATTCTCCATAAACAAGCTTGAAGATGGCAGAAACGAAAAGTCACATAACAAGAGCGGGAGATGGCACTTTCCCTCCGTCTCTTTACTTTTGCATTGGATTCAATTGACAAGTAGCAGGAATATCTTTTAAAGTTGTACTCTCCGCTCTTTTTATTTTTAGATAGAACCAGGACTGTATGCAATAGCCACTTTTAAGAATATAAACCTGAGGAGTGATTATACCGACGGGGAATAGAAACTCTCCTACAAAGATTCAAAGTTATGCATTCTGAGAACCCACGATTAACGTCATCTTTGAGTTTCAGTTCCCAAGAGAGTTTCCAACTCAATTCCAACTTTTTCCTGACGAAACGAAATCCATAGAATATCCTAGTGATCTCAGATTTTCCGTTCTTCTCTTACCCGCCATGTCATCTACGTTCAAGTGATTGGAGGTCTTTAATGATACAGTCAGTATGGATCGTGAATATTGTATATATCTTTTGATTTGAGTCTTAAAATTTCCCGTTGAAAGAATATTTTCTGATCTAATACGGACAACGGGTCACCAAGAACACTTCAAAGCCATGAGACAGCGTCTGTAGTATATTTGCTCGTAGAAAGCAGAACTTTAGAATTGCCAATGATAGAGAATACTCATGAATTTCAAATTATAATGTTGCACATCTTAAGGTGGTGCGGCTACCACCGGACAGATTCCAGATCTAGCCTCATCCCGGGAGAAAGTGGTAGAAATAATAAATAAGCCAATAGGAAGATTCTCGCGACTTTTGAATGCATTTTTGCATGTCTTAATGCGATATGGCTGCTTTTACCACACATATTTCTCGGCAGAATGATTGAGAATCAATTAAGACCTGCGTTACTACCAAACTATATCCTCAAGTAGCAAAGCAAAGATGGTCGCTCTACATACAGTTAATCCCTCCGGATCTATAGAAGATAAGTTATTACTCAGTTCACTACATCTACTACAGGCTCTATTTGAACTGTATTGGCCCAGCTTCCTGTGTTTAAAAGGACCTTAAGTATCTCCTCAGAACTCGGAGCGGGCCTATTATCAATTGTTTCGTAGGCGTTTACTCAACCTCGCATGCTCTTGAAGACTTCATTTTCAATCTCAAGCTCTAACAGAAAGACCAATTGACATTTTTGAGCTATATTTATGATTGTGATATGCGAGGGGACAGAAAGTATGGCACGACGTGAAACCTTTATGGAAACACGAGATTGGGCGATGCGGCCTCCGCGAACATCTTGAAATTGCAATTGAGTACATCAAAATAATTCACCTTGGCTAACTACATGTTGGTAGTTATCAGAATACTTGTATGGGCCACTCCGCATGCAATTAGTGTACCTCGGATGGCTCTACATGTCCAGATTTTTGTTCACTACCCTGCTATTTCTAGAATTCTAGGAATGTGTTGAACTTGGCGGCATATGCAATACTTTCATTCGGATTCAACTGCGTATCATCAATGGCAGGAAGAAAATAATTCCTCGAAAAAACCAACGTTGCTTTGTTGATGATTGCTATATTATAGGTATTTTTATTCAAATATGAACACAAAAGTCCGAGCGTCTGTCGCGTAAAGTCGCTTCGGCCCCTGATGAAAGATGCCTTCAACTATATAGAAAAAGTCATCTGTAAGAAACTGTGGATGTATCATTATAGATGATACCTGTTCCAAGAAAATGAATTGTTGAGACAAAAGAATATTTTGATTGTTTAGGTTCTGAAAGGCCACAAAGAGAAACCTCAATCACGGTGTTTGCAATGAAAGTGAATTTGAGAGTCCTTCATCATAAAATGATTGCCTTCCAGACTTCAATTTCAAGCCACCGGATTCGAAGATATGCAACAAAGAAAAAGAAGTGCTAGCCAGAGAATAAGAATTGCAAAATGCTCTGATTATAGAACAAGTGAATGTCAACAACATGTGATATAAAGCGTGGAATTGAAGCCTGTACTTCAAAAGGTGCAACAGTAGAAGGGTCTGTTTCTTAATGGTCAGCTTCAGAAATCTAAAACGTATTAGACATGCAACATTATTAAAAAGAGTCACCTGAATCTGCAAAAAGTAGGTAGGCTAGCATGACTTGTGAAACATTGAAAACTAAGACGTGCGACGTTGCTGTATTTAGACTGTTTAAACTGGCCGATTCGAGGAGCGGCTTATTGGGGAAGCGGGAAGAGATAAGATCAGAGATGGGAATTTGGCGGGTGGCTTAGAACCTTTGTTTATGGTCATGAATCAAGACGGTATCTTCGGCTTTGTGTATGGCTTTCTTTGAGCATGGGTCATTTAAGTATGCAAGCTTGGTCCAGTGGTGCCGTTTTTAAAACGATTGCAGGCCGTAAGACATAAATGTGGAGGAACGGTTTAACCTCGACTAACAAGAGATCCACGCCGCTTTTCTGTAGACGTGCAACATTAGACCTTTACATTTAAGCAGACACTATTGCACGTGGCTTTTAATTCAGACGTGCAACATTTCGTTCCATTTGTTAGGCTGAAGTACCCTGATAGGCAGTGCCTAGTCTCGAAACCCTGTCGATTTGGCATTGTTAAGGCACACGTGAGTTGTAGATATGCAACAAGATCTTAAGTGGATATTGTGAAGAGAAAGTATATTCCACAGTAATAAATCAAGTTTATGCTGGGCTTGTAACGTAATTGATGTGGCCCACACGAACCCGATAGCATCCCTACATCTCCTCTTGGAGCTTTATGCGATATACTGCGTATCAATTAGCTGAATTTCAATTATGCGTAGAGGGCATTGAAAGAAGCGACTCTTACTTTCGCGTTTCAAGAACCACCGAGTTTGATCACAATATGCCTTCCATTTCCTTGGAATTCGGGTCAGACTTTTGCCGTATATCGGTCTGTTTGAGGGTTGTATCACTATTGAACCTTGTATTCGTTCCACTATGTACAGTTCTCATGCCTTTTTAACAATAGAAGGAAGACCAATCAAACCATTTTCCAAAAAGTAAACTTCAAATTACATGTGGGTGTGACGGTACCTTGTATGAACTGCGGCAAGCAACAGACTATGTCCGAATTATTTCCTTTTAGAGCCATGGAGTTTCTCTACCAAGTGCTGAATAAGTACTTCGGTAATTGTACTAACAGTTGTGTGGGGTTGCAGCGACTTCTTCGTGTTGGTGTTTGAGGTGTACGGCGTGACTTGCCGAAGTAACCTTTGGCATGAAGCACCAGATTACTATAATCCAAGTAGTTAACATATCATTGCGATAAAATTTGCTTATTTGAACTTCAAAGTGTAATGAGAAAAAGACTAATTGACATAAATTAAACTTATGTTATTAGAAAGTTTTTTTTTTTCAGATGAAAAAAAAAGTCGCCCTAGCAAATCTTTCTAATAATTATGCCATTTCTACAACCCCGCCACGAATTGTGACAGGATAACGGAGAACCTGTAGGATTGCGGCCCAGCCCTACCATACATCTATTTACCATATTAATCATCAGCGAAACCTTGGAAAATGGCTGTCATAAGTTCTATCTCCCCTAGAGACTACATTAACCAAACCTTCTTTCGCTTTCCACCACTCGCATGATCTTTTCTGTTACAGGTACGAAAGACTTCTAACACCTGTATTGAAGGAGTAGCATACATCTCAAGTATAATTAACTTACTCACTGTGCCTCATGTTGCTACTTTCCCAGGCTCCCACTATCACATAGCACTCGCAAATCACTGCATTATGACACTTGATAATTCTCCATTAGTACCTAGCTTCTTCTTTGCACGTCGTACACTTTGAAATTTTTACTTTTCATTTAGCAAGGAACTCTCAAGATCTCTTTTAAATGCTTGCTTTATAGTATTAATTATTCGATAATGTCTGAGAGATCAAGTAAGATGATAGAGTCGCCAATCCCTGTTCCGCCAGAAGCTGGTCTTGAGGTTGGGTATCCAAGACATATCAGCCATCAAGATGGGTTGCAGGTGGATTGGGAAGTACAAGCAAAATACGAGACCGCGCTCATACAGCGAGAAATCGTGGCGGAGCTGGGAGGAAACCGACAATTCCTAAGAAATCATCGTAGAATCTTGGGATTGAGCGTCATGTGGTTCTGGGTCTTTATGGTGGTCATTGTGGCTATTTTGGCTGCTGGAATTGGGAACAAAATCGCCAGCGGTATGAAAGAGAAGAGCAAAAATAATCATTCAAAGTAAGAATTCTTTGTAAATTTTGCACAATTATCGCTAACCTATGGATACCAGGCACAGCCACACTGAGAGCTCAAACATTACATCGCCATGCCAGATTGATTCAGGGGCAAACAGCAACTCCATACTCCCAGTAACATCGCATCAGGATACAGTACCCACGAACTTCCGACTATTTTGCAATCGAACTTTCGATGTAGCTTCGAGTGTACGTCTTATGTAGTTTGCAATACCTGATTCTAGAGCCAATATGAATGGTTGTATGGAAGCATGTTTAGATCACAACGCAGGAGGATCTAACAGCAGCAATGACAAGTTCAATAACTCGTGTTGTGCTGTTACCATCAATACAAACGAGACGACCGGACAACAATGGTGCAAGTTATTTTCAGCCACCGAATGGGGAACTGATGCAGTTGGAGCAGATTGCGCTGTTAATCTCTCGCCACTAAGCTTAAATGACACTATCGGCCTTCAGACCAGAGTGAGAAACATCACGCTTGCTTCAACTACCTTTGCAGGATGTACACCAGCGTCAAGTGGGAGTTGCTTAGAGGTATTCACAACAAAAGGGGGTAGTAACAACTGCTCCTGTTAGCTTGCAGTCGGTCGTTTTTGTCTCAGAGCTGGTGATCGGAGGTCAAACTCCAACGGCATCGAAGCCAACATCCACTACCTATCAATGAAAAAATTCATTACAGGGGACTCTATCTATGATCTGTCGCGAATGGATATATTGCCGGACTTGGCGACCATTTGCCGATATTGCCGATCCTCGAGGTGGGTTTCTGTATATTAGATTTGGATTGTAGCCTTGATGGCGGCTGTAATTGTTTGAGGCATTATATAATAATCATCAATCGTTAAGCACACCAAAAAAGAATAGGATATGCAGTCACTTATCACCAAAACAAAAGGTGAGCATGTGATTGTGGAAGCAGATCCACCCTAAAACCTGGGCAAGAAGACGAGGGCAAAGCGTTGTATGTACCAGTGCGAAATTATTCTTCCAATAGTTTGAAAATTCCTGTCGCAAACCTCGGTCTTGGGCAATCTACCTTAGATCCAATGATCACTTGCCCCAAAAGAGAAACATCGAGAGCTCACTCATAGATCTACTACAGTGGTAAGAGCTGTCTACATCATATCCTAAGGGTTTCGCCGAAATTTACGAATGTGTGCCTACCAGAGGAACTCTGTTGCAATCGGCGATCCAATACTGTAAGTTACTGGACCTGATGGGAAAAAAAGGGAAAGCTGAACGAAATTCGAAGACTGTGGTTTTGGTTACTATGATAAGAAAAACGAAGATCATGTGGTAGATGCGCTGCAACGTGAGGATTTTGACGAGCTATAGGAATAGCCGTAAGCCTTTGGGGGGGAGGGGTGTCCGACGCAGCTACGCCCGAGCAATAATCCCCACGCCCATCCTATTATCAAAGTTAGTTTAAAATCGCGAAACGAACGCGGCGAACGTGGTTTATAGCCGTTAACTAGACCCAAAGAGATTGAGGATGACAATTCCACATAGCAGTGAAAGTTGGAGAATACTCGCTAATCAACCCAGATTCCAAGAACGCCCGCAGTACGAAGAGATACTCAAAGCCCTGCGCGGCATTCACACAACCCTGAGACAATGACATGAGGTGGAGGTACCAGGATTTCGTAAGTAAAGCGCTTGATGTGCTCGCATAGTAGCTTGGGAACCAGCACTTTTGGGTACACAAGGAGACGAAAGCCAGCTGACTACGCGGAATACCTCATCTCCATAGCACTTGCACCAACGAAACTTGGATTTGCAGGACTTCGAAAGTTTCTTCACTTGATGGAGAGGCGTTCAGTACATGCCTGCCTAGTCTCAGCAACGAAAAGCGAGAGCATGAGATAGTGATGTTGTGCTTGAATGTGGCCGAGTCACTTCTCAGCAACAAACCATCAGGCCCGGGGTAGTGCCAGGGCAAACCTGTGACAGGCCAAAGAGGGAAACGAAAATGGAGACCCAGTACGATTTGAGAGGCAAAGGCTCCCTAAGCTCAGAAGTTCTTCTGTATCTCAAGCTACTGATTGGGACACAGACACAAGACTGCCTGATGCAGCTCTACCCAACCAGTTTCATGACAGCCTTCGCACACATACTCATCGCGAAGAATGACAAAACTGTCAATTCTTGTCGTTTGAAATTAAGGCCGTGGTATAAAGCTGGTGGATCTTCTCCGGCAAAAAATCATCGTGGCTCGGTGGAGGGCATTTTAGCCAGCGAATCCGTCAATGGATTTACGCAAGAATGTGAGCAAGAAGTTCCCCCCGTTCGCGATATGAACTGAGAGTACGTCGTGAGACCATTATTTTGCGGTAAATATTTAACAAAAACAAGCTAACATTCAAATTCCATCAACGCAAATGAAGAATTGCTCTCTCGGCGAATCAGTCGTGATAATCTGTGTTAATAAATTATCATGACATTATCCGGGGTGTCAGGAGTGAAGTTGGGTTCTGCCTGCCTGTACAGTAGCCAAACCGAGCCCGTGCCACGCCAAAATTACTGACGTAAAAGTAACTTGACAACGCGACGCGCCACTTCAACATTTCACTTCACAACCGCGATGAACTCAAAATTCAGCATCAATTGTAGAAATGGAGCATTGGAGGAATGGCAGACGCGAATTGTTTGAGCAGTTGTCCAATATCTGCAATAATATTGAGCAGAACCTTGACAATGGTAAGGTTAACCTCTTAATTGATTGGGGTTGTTTGCTGATCATGTTTGCCCCGCAGAACTCGTGAACGGAGACAATACAATTATTCGAAAGGATGAATTGGAAAAGTTGCGTTTGAAGGCAAACTCCTTTGAATCTGATAATGAAGAACATGCTGCCCAGATCAGATCGAACGAGGATTCGCTACATGAGAAGGGAGTGAGGATTAAGATTCTGGAGGAAGATGTGTCAAGGCTCAAGGAGGAGCTTCGATCGAATCGAAATGCGGTTACCAGGGCAGATAAACTTGAAGAAGAGAACAGGCATCTTCTGGAGGAACTGAAGAAATACCAGAATGTGACTTCGAGGGTGGAAGATCTTGAGGAGCAGAATAAAAGATTGTCGATGGAATTAGGCAATGCGGCCATACGAGCAAGAGATGCCGAGCTTGCTAGTACCGATAATGAGAGATCAAGTTCATTTGACAACGGACAAGTACCTTCGATGAGCCGCCAATCGAATCATAAGGAACTCGACAATGAGCGCAAGCGCATCAAGCAACAATGGTTGATGCAGAAAGAAAGAGCAGATAAATATGCCGAAATTCTGCGAGAGAAGAATGCGCAATTACGTCGATGGGAAGCGTGGAATAACGAGCAGCATATGTCACATACGGACAAAGCTGATGAAACTGAAGTACAGACGCAAAGAACCCGGAAGTCGAGGTCAAAATCGCAAGATTTGGAAGGAAGAAAGTCTACGATACCTAATAACCAAAGCCATGTTGATGTCGCTCCTCAGGCGACCGGAGTCCCTGTAACGAGTCCAAAACAAGATCTTTCATCGAATGACATTAATCAACAGTCTGATGTGGATGATCCTGGGCATGAACATGGTCGAAAGGAGGAAGTAGATCCTGAATCCCCGCAACTTCCAAAGCATGTGCGAAGATCCCAGCGTGTAACCAACGTCGAGGAAACTCAGTTTTTGCCCATTGAACCATGCCATTCGAGTTCTACTCAGGATCCAGAATCTTCACCATCTGGTAGTAGGGCAATTGCTACTGTCGGCGAGACAAACATAGAGACGCCCAAGATACCATCATCCGACGATGCCCCAGAGTTTATATCTGCTCGCCCTGTGAGGAAAAGGAAAAGGAACGAGCGCGAACCACAACGCAAGCCTTTAGCTAAGGTTAAGCTAGAGGAGCTCGATTCAAGTAGTCCCATCACAACTAGAATACTTCATGCCAGCGAAAGTCTTGATTTAGATGACGTTGGTGATAAGGTTGTCACACCAAGGAAGCGCCGTCGAGCATTCAGACCATACATAGAAGACGTCGAGAACGGAGTTGAGGATGCGGTGGGTGATGAAATGTTACTAGATGGCAACATGAACAAGCAAAATCAAGTTCCTACTCCTGGCATCATCGGGCAGCCAGGAAGGACAATGATTACACCAGCGACTAAGAGAGGCAAAAACTTAGTCGGAAAAGCTTTACGGCCACTCAGTACCAATCGTATCCTTCCAAATACAACGGATCCTAACCTGCCGACTAAACGGCAACGGAAGTCAAGTGCTAGCGTTCGAGGAGTGGAGGATATACTCGAAGATGGAGAGTCAAGCAGTCCCGCAAAGACCCCTGTGGCTGTTGAAAAAGGACGCATCCACTCTGCAGACCTTCTCAATAATCTTCTTTCAAGCTCTCCGCCCACGAAAATCACCGCCTATCCAACACCGCAATCCGTAGCTCCAGAAGTACGATCGGTAATGCACCCACCGTCCAAGTTATCGACAGAGATAACGACAAACCGCCTTGAAAAACACAAGACCTTAGTTGCTACTCCACACTTCCAAAAAGATCGTGAAGATCTTGACGCACAGGATGATACTCCAGTGCCAGGAAGAAGGGCGATTATAAGCGACGAAGGAAATGGACTTGCCAAAAAAGCTTCTAGCCGCCCTCGGAGTGTTATCAAGAGAGAGATTTCCGGACCAGAACGAAGAGCATCTGTAAGCGATGAAGGGGCTGAAACCGTCAAAATTTTTACTGGCCGCCCTCGATCAGGTATCATGAGGGAGATTTCTAGGCCTTCATTAAGAGGTTCAAGGCGAGGCTCAACGGAAACACCTCGTGAAGCAAGTAGATCGCCTACCAAACTCACTCCGAAAGTAAAGTCAGGGAGTTTCAAGGTACCGACAACAAGTAAGGGAAAATCGAGAAGAGGAATTGGGCGGGATCTTGACTCGGATGATCCCGAACGAGAGCCTTACCGATTACGATCTGTGACTACGTTAAAACTTGATCACTTCAAAATCAATCCAAACTTCAATCAAGGTTACGACTATGCATACACAGAAGTAGTTCGTGGTAAGGATCGTCAATGTCTTCCGGGTTGTGTTAGAGAAGAATGTTGCGGGAAGCAATTTGGCGCTTTAGTGCAAGCCCTGTATCCCGCGAGGGAAAATCCTACAACTTCACAAAAGGCAGAGGAAGATACACTTCTTGAAGAGTACTTAGGTGACAACAAACACAAGATTTGGACTATGGGAAAAGAAGAGAGAAAGGACAGTCTAGCACAGGCTAGAAAATGGAAAGCATCCAACACAATGGGGAAGCATAAATCTGTTGTCCCAAGGAGAAGTACACCGCCTGGATTCTGGGAGGCTGATTTTCCTACTACACAAGAAGATGAGGCATTCAAGAAGAAGCAAAAGGAAATAGAGCGACAAAAGGTAGCCGAAAGATATGCGGAAGCAATGAGGCCGGGAGGTGCGTGGTTGTTTAAAGACGAGTAAATGATTATCCAAGATTTTGTGATTCAAATGAGGAGTACATATGGGATGGCATGGGATTGGTGTTTTCTGGGAGTATAGATATATCCAAATAGCGTTGTTGGGGACTTGATTTGTTGTGCTAAGTATTGGTAGCGGCTCTTTTTGGGGAGGGGCTGGCCGGGAGCATTGCTCAATACACAGTATTGCTATGAGCCTTAGAGCTGACATGAATATAACGAAATAACTTTTGACATCACTATGGGGTGCTTGAATACACCCAATACTCTTGATAGATATCTAATGATCCTTTCCGACATCAATAGTACATAATATTGTATTTTTACAGCTTTAGCTCTGTTCTCTCCTTAATGTGGCTGGACGTTTTGAAAGTGTGGCTGAAATGCGCTAAATTTAAATCGCGGCTGCGGAAACCACGGGCTTGAACTGCGCAATCAATCATCATTATCGCGACGACAACTTTCAACAAGCACCACAATTCAACTATTATATCGGAACCTTCTGCGACCTATATCGAGGAATAACATCAATCACAATATCCGGCTCATGATCGCAAGTCAATCTCAAGATGGCTGATCAACCACCGGCAATGCAACATGAGGACTCCATCAGTTCGCAAGATCCTCATTTACATGGTGACAAAGGAAAGACGAAGAGTAGACGGCCAGCAAGTGAGGAACCCATACTTCGATGCCACACATATGAATTGTATGCTGATTACAATTTTTAATGAATAGATACGGCGTTCAGACAACAAAGATTGAAGGCATGGCAGTGAGTGGTGCTTGGTATTTATTGCCCAAGAATGAAGCTGACACGATGCAAGACCAATTTTAACACCAAAAACCGTACTTCCATTATTCTTCGCCATCGGAATTATTTTCGCGCCAATTGGCGGAGGGTTGTTATATGCTAGTAGTGTGGTCAGTGAATGACAGCCGATTTCTAAGGAGTTGTCTTGATAAAGTCATGACTGATGTTTTGGATTAGGTCCAAGAAATTGTACTCGATTATTCGAAATGCCATACAGATGCGCCAACCTGCACCGATTACCTCGATACAGGCTCTCTCATGCCTGATGATAATGTTGCAATGTTTTTCAAAACGCCATATGTATATGAAGGAACTCCTCCGCAATGGTGCAGGCAAGATATTAACCAAACATATTACAACGGCAGTGTCGCGCATGCAACTGTTCCAGCTGTACAATGTCGACTCACATTCCCAATCAAATCCGAAATGCAGCCTCCTGTTCTATTCTACTATAAGCTCACCAACTTCTACCAAAACCATCGACGATATGCTAAGTCCTTCGATTCTGCTCAGCTTTCCGGCAAAGCCGTCACCGCAAGTACCATACATTCTGGCGATTGTACGCCACTTACGACTGTAAAGGATAATGGTGTCGATAAGCCATATTATCCTTGTGGTCTAGCTCCAAACTCCGTGTTTAATGACACATTCTCAAGTCCATTTCTACAAAATGTCGCAAATAGCACCTCAGGTGGCGTAGTCTATCCTATGAAGAACAACTCGGATGTGTCATGGAGTAGCGATAGAGAGCTATATGGTCAAACAAAATACAATTGGTCGGATGTCATTGTTCCTCCAAACTGGGTTAAGCGATATCCAAACAATTACAGTGATGATTACCATCCTGATCTCGAGAACGACGAAGCATTCCAAGTTTGGATGAGATTGGCTGGTTTGCCAACATTTAGTAAATTGTTACAGAGAAATGACGACGATACTATGAAAACTGGACAATATCAAGTCAACATCACACATCGTAAGCTTTGATTCTGCCATGTTCTATATCTATCTTTTAACAATCCACAGTTTTCAATGTTACCGAATATGGCGGCACTAAATCAATCGTTCTTTCAACCCGCACCGTTATGGGTGGTAAGAATCCTTTCCTAGGTATCGCCTACATCGTGGTTGGAGGTCTCTGTATCCTGCTCGGTGCACTTTTCACCGTGACTCATCTTATAAAACCAAGAAAACTGGGTGACCACACATATTTGAGTTGGAATAACGACAACCCTACAACGGCGACTACCAGTGGACGTGAAATGGGTGCGAATATGGGATAGACGCTGGATCGATTTTGGATCAAGAAAGGGGACGTGTAAAATAGAGATGGATGATGAGATATGAGGCGGGGTTGTTGTTTTCGAATGTTTTCCTCTTCGTTACCAATGGGCAATCTGGCGTCTAGGTTTTATGAGCTTTTGATCTGTGCTGCTTTTGAAAGCATTCTGCGATACGAGGAAAAGTGGATGGAAGGAATCTTTGGCTGGACTGGGGAATCAATGGGTGCTACGAATATTTTGTGCTCTTACTTTTTGGATTAGAAAGAAATTTATTACTTTGAAATAGACCGCGGATGAAATCCGTACAGGCCAATGGACATCCAGGGTTTTCGAAATCTCAAACATGTCCTTGTAAGTTTTCATACGCCAATTCTCGGCCCACATTTCAAAACCATGCCATCTTTGATGCTTACTTATGTTGCATCAAATATGCCCTACAAATTATGATAATGAAAATAACCAGGGCGATAGCAGAATCAAAATCTACAAATTTCCTCACCAATAGTTTCAATTTCAAAGTAAGGCACCTTGGATGAAGAATGAGTTTGAGATTAAAAATTAATGATGATTAAAATATTCCTGTGCAATGGTCCTCCCACTGATGTTTTGCAGATATGCTTACTAACAGAAATTAACAGATTTAACTTGTGTCCATCTTGTGAGATACGTTTATCTTTCTTCACTGGCACCATCTATCCATCTTTCCCTCCTTCTCATCCGTCTAAGCTCAGTCCCGAGATATCCACGTCGCCGCATTCTGTGGCCGGCTCCTACTTCCTCAAATCCTGCAATTCAATATTAATCCCTTGATCCTGGGTGACCCCCCTCGATATCATCAAGGTATCGTACTGATTAGTTGCCGAAAAGAATCTTTTTATAATATCATCAACAGTATCGATGTGCAACTTTGTACCAAAAACATCCTGGCTCCAGCAATTATTGAGAATTTCAAGACCACTTCCCTTCTTGGTTATTCTTAATTTACCACGCCTGTTCCCCGGGTACGAGAAAAATGTCAACAGGGCCGATTTTGCTCTATTTCTTTCGGATTCGGGAGTTGGATAGTATTGGATTGTGTCTTCGGAGATTGGTGTAATAGGCTGGGTAATCGTTAGATCTACGTCTGGGTGAAAGAAGTCGGGAAACTTTTCCAGTGACTCTTCAAGTATGCCTGGTTCTGAATCGGTTTCACTTGAGTTTTCGGGGAGTTTTGGGATAATCTCGGCTTCGGGTTCCTTCTCAGATGCCATCGGAGTATTGTCCTTGGATGGTAGTGAGAGAGATTTATTGATGACCGAGTCTTCTTCCATGGCAGGCTTCTTCTCGCTCGATACCAAACCATTTTCGGGATGTGGTGGTCGAAAGGTAGCCCGGAGGGCTTGTCGCTCCATACGTGGTCCTGGTCTCATGATTTCCTTGCCTCGCTTTGCGACTGTTATATTTTCAATCACCCTTCCAGACATCGGATTGTGCATTCTACGAAGAGTCATGACGTCGGAGTGTTCAATCTCGAGATGATAGAAATCGTTGGGGTAGTGAGTCGTTCAGTATCTGAAATGTAGTTCTTATATATATAGTAGATTGAATAGATGATCTGAATTTGATGAAATGTATCGAGCGATGGTTTGATAAATTTTCTTGAGAAAGGTTGTGACAGTACGGATGATGAAACATTTTATTCACATTAGAAAGGTAGAGCTGACCTAAAAGCCGTAGTACATTCTAGTACACATTTAGTACGCAAATTAACTACAACGAGAATCACAGATAGCTATCTTCTACGAATATCGGGTCACAGGAAATTTCAGCGAATGAGTACTGAGTTGTGGTTGAAGAAAGGTGGGACCACCCCCTTAGTAAATACGTTAGAAGGTCTCTAGAAGGCACTAACCAGCCAAAGGCCGCATATCATTCAAAAATGGCCTAAGACAACTAGTCTTAGATAGAATTACATCATTATCGTTGTCAGAAACTTTTTTTTCACTGTGACGATGTGCTAGGGATTTGAGGCTGCTATTGTGATATCTTGTCATCGCCTAATTCAGGGGAGGCGGCTGATAAAGGGAACTGATAGAGTTTGTCGAACACTGGCAACAATATCGATCAATACCCATTGTCATAATTTATTGTTCAGAGACTGTACAACGAAACAAAGCATACGATAAATTTAAGCCTGTAAAGAAATAGAGTTTGGATTGTGAAAATCACCTGTCAAGCGTAATGCTTAATATGCGACTAACTTACGCTTTCATAGAGGAACATCTCCGGACACACGTATCGCTTAAGATGCCGAATAAGATATCAGACACTGTGAGATTGATAGAGGATGGGGTTCATAAGCGCAGATGGGATAATGTTGTAAGAAAATGGTACTTGGGATCTATGTATATATCATAAATACTGTTGTGCAAATCCTGATCAAAAGGATATATGTATTCGAAAATTCTAGATTGATTGAGGATGAAAAAGCAGTAATTACGCTTTGGTTGCACTCCAATAATCAAAATCCTCTGTCACTATAATCTACATCAAACTCCTTTCAATTTTATAAACCGACTCATTTTGCCTCTCAAATTTACTCGAAATTCCCACAACATGTCCTACAAATCCCCGGTCATGACTTGAAACGCGCGACTACATATCGACGAGTCTTAATTTGGAGTGGGAAGTCGCTCTGATATCGATCTACTTAATTGCAACAAAAATGATACAACAACATTGATGAATTTATACTAGTCACTTTCCGTGATACTGCTCAACTACCATCTTACGATTCGAGTAATCTAACACCAAATTCTCAGATGTAATTATGGTATGCGACTAAAACAAGAGATGGTATGCTTCCATGATCCATGTTTGTAACAGAGTCCAAAAGATTGTGACTTGATTATTGTTCCCTCGAGGCCTTTTATATAGTTCTTAGGTTTCTCTTACAGTCAAAATGGAAAGATGAATTCTTTGATGTAGGCACTTCCGAACAGGAGCCCAAGACTGATGCCTGTTGAGTATAAATTTGTGTTACTATTCATTTCTTGTTTGTTAATAAAGATAAAATGATCAAAATAATGGGTCAAATGGGAGATTGTTAGCCGTGCCCCGAATAGCCAGGTATACATAGAGTTCCCATTGAGATGAGTTGTTGAAGTGTATAATGATTTGTAAGATGCCTACACATACTTTTACGGGAGAAGCGTATGAGTTGTATTGCTGTCGATGTTGGCATGAGGAAGTATTAAAATGACAGCGATAATGATACAGCATGTCAAATGATGACAATGAAATTACATCAAGCAACAAAGTTTATGTAAAAACAGCATCATAACTTGAATGCACAATGGGAAAGTGTGCAGAATCCTAACATTCCATTTGAATTCGAAGTAGTGGCTCCCTCAATGATCGCCACTTGTGGGACAAGTAAAGGTAACCAAAGGCGAGAATAGAACTCGGCGAGATACTTATGCTAATTCCAAAAGCCCTAAGTATAACTTATGATAACATCTTAATCCCAATATGAAACACCCCGGATCCACAAGATTGCTTTAGAAGTATTCACCGAATCCTCTGATCTCTCTTATGTAAGTATTAAAGTATCAGATGGGATGATTATTCAATCTCATATCCGCACTACCAGATGCTTATAAAAGCATCATGCTTTGCAGGTGTGATATCAAAGGAGTCGTTGGGTGTAGAGGATATCACTTTGAATATAAAACTTCCGAGTCTTTCATCCAGACAATCTGTGAACATAAACCTAAATTTCTTTACGAAAATGCTTAGATTCATTAAACGGTAATAACTTATTCAATCCGAACCGCTGCAAACGACAGAGATAAATAACGATAATAAAAATACTGTCATCTCGTTAACTCAATATAACCCGCACGCAACCCAGAGTGCAGACACTCTACCAAAGATCAAAGATCTTCAACACCAACTACCTGAGTCCCAGATTTCATCACACTCCACCTGAATGAAAACATACCATGACCTCTTATCACACTGCACCTAAAAACCAAGCCGAGAAAACACTCAAATTCATATATGAAGCGGCATACCTTTGTAGGTACACACAAGCTATCTCGAGCGATAGCCTAGTAACACGAATCCGCATTTATACAACGAACTTACGCGACGTCAGAGATGAAGAGAATTCACATTTTACATTTAGCTTTTCCTCGGCGTGGAATTCAGCGGGGAAAATGAAGGTTTGTATGTATGTGGTTGGGTTTTCCTCACTTTCTATCTCTATTTTTATCTCTATCTCTTGCAACGGCTGCAGCTGCAGCTGCGGCATCAAAATTTGAGCTGATAGTATATGGAGTGACGGAGTCGCTACACAGGAAGAACTTTTGATGGGAATTGATTGGCTTGCAAAGCTAGCTTCGGTATAATCTCACGTGAAAATCTGGATAACTGTCTCTTATCTTGAGAAGTATTTTCTCGGGAACCTAGAGAACGAAGATATTTGCATAGTGTTGAGAGTGAAAAGGAGGAAAGATAGGATGGATAGAGGTGGTGATGGTGATGGTGATGGTGATTGTGATGGTGATGGTGATGGTGATTGTAATGGTGATGTTGACAGTAATAGTAATAATACCTAGAAACGAAGCGAAGGGGTAATGATGGTTGCTTCTCGCTACCATTCCAAATTATCATCATCATCACTACTTCCTCACTTCCTTACTTCCTCGCTTCCTCACTCCCTCACCCTCCCATCCTACCGCAATATTCAACAAATCACCTCTCCCCTTTGTATGTATACCACCCACCACTCACCCACCACTCACTAACTCATATACCACCTACCTCTCCCCCCACATCATCAAACCTACCCCCCAAACTTACACTTACACGGAAAGAAAGAAACCCATCTTATTACACCATACCATGACCATAATTCTAGTCTGCTGGCTTATCAACGCTCATCTTATCATTCCCAGAGATAGTAGTGAAGCAGTAGGTATCTGATATTCCATCCCCCTCTCCTCCCTCCCCCTTCCCCTCAACCGATATCTCAAATCGTCACAAACTCGTTCTGCCCAGATATCTTATCAATCTCCATTTATACCCAAAGTATTCAATGTCCAGCATCTCTATCCAATAAAAGATAACTATGAACATGCACACAGACTAACAACCTTGACAGCTCCAACCACTCAAATTCACATCACACAAGCACCAGAAGCAATCTATCAAGGAACCTCTATCGGCAAGAAAAATTCATAAATTCGAATTATAAATAAACTTTAAATCTTAAAGAAAAAAACAAACTATTTACTTGTATATCAAAAATATTTCCATGCAGGAGGACGTATCACTCCAATCCACTCGCATCTATTTCATCGGTATGGTAACCCCCCATTCATCCGATTTCATTCCAGTCATCCCCATAGAAGCATAAAAAACAAAAAGGTATCGCAGCAACCAATCGGTTGATTCCGAACTCCATCATAATCCATAATAAATCAATAGCTTGCTCATTCCTGTGTCCTCGTGCCGAACGCCGGTTTCCTTTCCAATTCATCATCTTCACCTGTATCATCAAGTCCATCAATTCACATGATCACACTCCGCCTGAATTCTCTATCTTCCGTAATTAGGTTTCCTCGCCATATTAACAACTGGCGGTGGTCCATCTTCCAAAGGATAAGGCGCTACAATGCCCGTTCCATTTCCAATAGGTCTTCTTTGCATGGCATTTCCAGGCCTCTCCCCATTAATCGGTGTCTTTGGTGGTACTGGCGGTGGACCTGAAACTCTCCTTGGGTTCCTTGGCGGCGGATCCGAGATTCTTACATCTGGTCTAGGATATTCATCCAAGCTCATGATTGCAATTTTATCAGATCCAGACGCTGTTCGATATTGTGATGGCGTTGGAGAACTGACTGTCAATCTGTCGCCATGATCTATTGGGTGATTCAAAGGAGATGAATGTGGTGAGGAATGATCTGGAGACGAGATTGGCGAAAAAGGATCATTTTTGATAGAACCAAGAGGAGCAACTTCGAGACTATCATGATGTCCGGATTCGTAACTTGGTCTCGGGGATGGTGTCCATGCTGCATTGCCGGAAAGAGGCGTCAAGGGAGGGACTTCAGCTGGGAGTTCCACAGCCAATGGATTAGCTTCTGGAACATCGGGTAAATTCTTGTAGCTTTCTCCCCTGTTACCCATCGATGGTACCCTCATGTGACCATTAGCTCTTTGAATTGCTCTGTGAATTTTTGACAACTTCACAGCTGCTTCGATATTCATTTTCTGAACATCACTTTTGCCGAGATATCTTCGCGTACCGGTACTGATATCTGCGAGACGGTTCCACTCATTCATACCAAATTCTCCTACACCGATCTCCACATTTAGTCGATAATAATTTTCAATATTGACACCTCGTTTGCTTAGATGTTCTTCCTTCATGTATTGATGTGTGATTTCACATCCCTCGATTTTGGCTATCAATCGTCTTTTTGCATCTGCGAATTCGCCCAAGAAACCTTCATACCACATATGTTGATTTTGATCGCTTCCTGGTGGTCTTTTTCCTGTTCCTATGCTGACAAACACACCAACATCTCGCCCGGGCCATTCATTGACTGTAGCTTCATCGAGAGCAAATGGCGCAGGATTATATTGACCAGCTCCTTCGTCTATAAACACTGATTGTCCGATTTGAATAGGTTTGAATGCGAGTCCTGTGGCTGATGTTGCTCTTCCTGCTTCCCAAATCTTACAATCATATTCGGGTGATGGCTCTTTTCGTGAATCGTAAGACCTTAGTATGGCCGGCGCGCCGCCTTTACGTGTACCTTTATAGATTGCCGTCACAGCCCTATTCTATGTTAGCTATTGCGTATTTGAGGCATCTAGTGTAACATACGTCTTGGTCCTTTCTGGGCGATTGTCATATAATCTGGCGTTAGGATTTCCCCACCTCGATGACATGTAAGGTTTATTTTGGTAGCTCGCGGGATTTCTATTACTGAAACTTGCGACACTAGCATTGCTTGAATGTCGTCTTGGTTCTGACCTCGCTGCCGGGCTGAAAGGACTAATCGGACTTCCGGGAAAGGCGGATGCTGGCGCGGACTTATCCCCATCATTTCCTTCCTTCTCAAATAATGTATGTTCTCGAACACATTCCTTGATCGCTTCCTCCAACTTTGAAGCCTTGAATAAAGTCGATCGATATGGTATGCCCGCAATTGTTTTGTCCGTTTCGAAAACTTTCCTAGTCATTCGTACATAAACTTCTTTACAAGTCTCCAAATCTAATCGCAACCTGCCAAGCATAATCGCGATTAAACCGCCTGTTCCCGTACCACATATTAAATCGAAATGGTCGGCAGGTTTTGGAATTTGATCTCGTCGGGGCGCTTTTCCTTCGATTTCGACATAGGTTCTATGCATGAGCTCTTGAATAATTATGAGCATAGAATATCCTCGTACACCACCTCCATCTGTATAGGCGTTAGTAAGTTGCGCGACAGGTTGAAGGGATTGTTTGCTCTACCTAGAGATAATATACGTAAAGGAGGACCTTTTGTAGTATCCTTCCTCCTGACCACACCAGTATCAACCATCGTAATCGTGAAGCTCTAGAGGAATACCTCGTCTGTCGTTGTTTCTTTTTCGTATCCTTTTTGTATGCTGTTGGTAGATGGGACACTTGCTAAGGTTATTGTTATTCCAGGTGAAGTGGGGATGCTGCAACGGAATAAACGAAGAAGGTTGGAGAGAAGTGGCGCAGCGGGATCTATTGTAGTGGTGATGATCACTGGGATTCTGGCTATCTTATCCGACAACGTTGGAAGGACAAACAAACGGTGACTAGATTTGTGCAGTGTATGTATTACTAGACTTGCTTTGCACCGTATCGTGTCGAAAGATGTTCAGATTCAAGAGCTCCAATGTGATATGGAGTTTTAATATCTGTTCACAGATTTTCTAAGTTTTTGAGTTTCGTGGATTCGCAAGCTCTCCCTTGACTTTAGAGAGAATAGTAGTAACGAACCCCTCCAAAGCGACGACAGTATGACCTAGGTAGTAACCTTACTCTTCTCTCTTAGCGATATCTTTACCGGGTCTTTGAATATACACTCGAGATACTGTGACGCGATTGTTGAAATCTTGGGCAGACCTTTCATAAAGCTATGGGCTAATAACTTAGGGGATCTTAAGGCTGTGAATCCTCGAAGTAACATTCAAGTAAACTTTTCCAACAAATGCCGAGCCGCCCGCGTGAAACATGTTTGGTCATTAAGTTTATCATTATCGTATCAAAGATTTTGACTGGTAGAAGTCACTGGAAGGTGGTCGGTCTAAGGTACTCGATGATTCTGTTCCATGGGGAAAAGTGCAGGGCAGCACATGAACTTCTCCTGACCATCAATTGCTCTTGTGTTTATGTAAGAAGCAAACATATAAACTTACTTTGAAGACATTTAACTCACCAAGGCTACCCGTACGTACATAGGACCGATTAGAGAAGAGATTGATGAGGAGTATCTTCGAATAGGTAAGCCTGCCTTTCTGGAAGTATCTAAACGGAAATCCTACAACGAGCTTCCTTCCTTTCTAGATGTTCGCCCGAAGTTACTCTCACAAGTCCACCACGACTACTTAGGACAAGATGCCCAAGATTCTCTTGCATAACACTTTTACATCATTGGTTCCTTTGATCTTGTCTAGATGACGTTTGAGTATAGATTTACTAGGTTTCTTCAGCTGGTTTGTACGCCAAGATTACGCTTTTAAGTGGATGATTAGGTGCAACTTGGAGTCCACACAATACCTTTGATTTGCAGCGAATGACATATCCGTATGTGCACTATGAGATGCCGAGAGTGCCTGATCCGAAAGCTATGAAATCTTAATTTACGGAGTACAATCAATTGTCTATGGCGAGTCTACAGAGTAAAAGTTCTCATCATGGAATTTCCATGCTGTCAATCGCCTAGCACATTGGTCTTGCGAGCCCTTGTCGATACTTCCTGAATGGAGAATCACAAACGATAGAAATGGCTCAGCTACGTCAAGTATGTCGTAATAGATCCAGGGTATCTATCAAAAGCTCAACAAAATCCTCGTGGAGCCATAAAGTATGCAATTCCGAAGTTGGATGCTGTTTACTCCTTACAAGATGGTAAACTACAAGAGGAGTTAGTTTTCTTAGCGGTGGAACCTGCATACCGGCCGGTACTTCACAATGCCACGAGGATTTCCGCACCAGATGCAGTGGCTGCTTCAACTTTCATATTTCAATACTGCACGGTTGGCTGCACGGTTGGGGAACGCCCTAGGTGTACAAGAATATAACGTCAGTGCAAGTATCAGAAACCCGTATAAAAGATCGTTTTATCAACTTCAAACATCATCACGAGTTTCCATCTATAGCTGCTTGAAGATCAAGGAACCAGAAGCTTTTCTCTCCATAATGAGATCGAATTTTCCATATTGTAGGTGTGAAACAAGATTTGTTCGTTTTTCGATCCGGATTAAATTCGCGATTTGTTCCCCTTCATTTCAAACCACGTCGTCGCTAGACGGTTTCACATCAATTACGATGATGTCGAAGTTAGGATATATACCTCCGGATCATTCGTACGGAACGAAGTACTTTATTCCTTCAAAACTGTGTATTTTAATACTCGACCGTCAAGACTTTCATCTTCTTGGACCCTGTGAAATTTAGCTGGATCCGAGGCACATTCAAAGGGTTTTGTTAAGGTCTGAGTACCACCATGTCTGAAGCTTATCGCTGAGACAGAATTTGTTTGTTCTTTCCGTGATATATTAGTAATCCCACTTGAAATCCTCACATATCATCTACAACATTCCTCATTTTGTAAGAATCTTCCATTCTCCTCAAACCCCAGATTCAATACATAATGATTTCTTATTGATCCCTCAGTTCGAATCTGAACTTCAACTCTCCGCCGTATTCTGATTGACGAATCAACCCTTGTGCCAAGAAGTTTTGGTCCGAGTCAAACTCCTGACCCCAATCATGACCGCCAAGTCAAACCTCAAAATGCTTCACAATACAATATTAGGATGAAATTCATCACAGCATTTGGCTTGGTAGTTTGATGGCCAGTTTAAGATATTGTCGAATTTCTAGGCGTTGTAAGTGATAATTACATTAAAAGATGATGAGTGCAATCATTTTATCGATTTTGGTTGAGTCTACTTCGACCTTTCTTTTCACTTCGATCTTTCTCTCCATTCATTTTCTTTCTCAGCGCTGGGCGTTTGCTTCACTCTCATCATGATTTTCACTCAAGATTTATTAGTTTTCTTATTCCTTTCTCTTCTCGCTCCCGTTGATGCTTTGCCTAAGAAAAATGCTGCTTCTTCCACAACTAGTACGACAAAGGCAGCCACCTCTGGCGGTATCACAACAGCATCGGATGGATCAATGATTTTAGATAAAACTGTTCAAATCAAGTAATTATATACCATTCTATTTCATATTTAAATACTAATCAAACAGTGGTTTGCCCATTCGCTACAAAATCAGTGCTCCAGCCAATATGTTCACCTCAGCATCTGGTGTAACTGGCGGTACAGCATCAGCCAATACCACCGGAACAGCGGGTCTCAACGTTCTCCTGCACGGAGATGGAGGAACATCCTTCTTCGATTTCCCTAATCAAGCGGTTCAGAATAATCTCATGGGCGTCGTTGTTCTCGCTCCCAATAAAAATATGTTCTGGGGAGGTGGATCAGGTCTTCAACGTACGGATGGCGTCGCACATGCTGCTGCGGTTAATTCACTCATTCAAACACAACTTTCAAAAGACGTAGCATTTGATAATACAAATGTCTTCTTCACGGGTGTTTCGGGGGGTTCGCTACTCCTTTCTGGATTTTTCATGCCGGCTTTCGGGGCGCAGTACAAGACGGGAGTTTTGCTGAATTGTGGCGGATTGACACCACAGGTGGCGGTTGTGGATCCGGATACATTGGTGAAAAACATGAAGATTCATTTTCAAAGTTCGAAAGACGAGTTGGCGTTGTTGCAACCGGCTATTCCGGATGCGGTTGCTGCGTATGAGAAATTGGCTACGGCGGCGGGAATGACGGCGGATCAAATTGGCAGCTTGCAGACAGTGGATAATACACCCAATGGAGGGGGTCATTGGTATGTTTTCTCTTAACGCCTGAACGAAATGGATAAAGTGGATATTGGGTTCCCGAGTCTAGCTAACGATTTGGGGATGTAGTGCATTCGATAATAAAAGCTTCGTATCAGGAGTTCAATTGATGGCCACGAATTATGCTAATGTCATGTCCGCGAATGCTTCGGGTCAGGTTACGGGAATTGGAAATGTTTTGAAGGTATGTTACTGTATTACTGAGCCCGGTGGTGCATCGATGCTCGAATGTCCAAGAAATGAAGACCCAAGCTAATGTGTATGATAGACGGTGGTGGGAAATGAAAAATTAACTTTTGTAACTGCTAATTGACGGATATGCGATTGAGGAATCAAGGGTAGAGCCCTTTGGTAGAGAGCAACGCAATGGGTGGGGAGTTCATGGATTGCAGGACAACTTTGTCTGTGTCGCCGCTGCTGAAAGAAAGGGTTTGACTTTGGCGTTTAAAGATATACCCAAAAATGAGGGCCCCGCATATTTATTGAGTCGGGGCTCCAAAAATCAATTTTCTTCTGATATTCCCAACCGTTCCTGCCTCTTTCATCACTTGCCTTTCGAGTGTAACACGCTAGTTCGTCATGGGTACATCAACGTGCTCATTCTCGAATCCTCTTTCTTTTCTTCATTGCGTAGCACGAATGCATTCTTTCGATCTCTGAGAATAACTATCATTTACAAGTACTCGAGTTATAAATTACGATTATTATACCATACTATCCATGCGGTACTGTTGCTTTTTTTCAAAGAATCACATTCAGCTCAGTGAGATGACGCATCGTACGGTGGGCATATGGAACGAGATATCAAAGTGAGTGGAGGTTTGAGGACCAGAAAATGATGGACTGACCTTTCGATCTTGATCCCTTACGGCCTACATTTACCTCATTCGTTGCCTTGTCGAAAGGTACCTATCGGGACATCGATCATGTGAACCCAAGAAGGCGCTGTACTCGTTGGCGAGAGGCTAGCGCTTCCCTATATAAGTACTAGCTTTCCACTGTTGGTAATGATCAAAAACGATTACAACAACAATAGACTAGGGTACTTTACACTTATCAACCAAGTTGATACCAACAGTACCTTAAACTTCGACAAAATCTGGTCTTCAAGGTCAAGAATTCCTCTATTTAGTACATTCCCCTCCAGTGTATCATTCTTCGATTGCGCCCTTGAGGATAATCGAAGGCTTATCACTCATTGACGTAACCTACATACAGGCATCCATCTTCCGATCTCTTGGTCCATTCATTAGGCAATAACCACTTTCCAAGCTCAACTGTCTTTATCATGATGGACAATGATCACAAACACTCTCGGGAGATTCGGCAAAAATCTACAACATGGAAGGTATGTATGTCTTTTCATGTTTATTATTCGACGAGATATCTAAGACTAAAGACTCTACAGGCAAAAGTTGGATCAATAGGACACTCGTGTCAGAAAAAGAAGTCCTTGAAACGAACTCAATCGAGTGCCAAAAAGGCAGCCACTCCCATCGATTCTTGTCTTACACAGGGGGATAATGACGAACTCGAAAATCAATGCGGCACAATATTTCATCCATTTTCAAGACTTCCCATTGAGCTACGTCTAAAAATATGGAAAATGAGCTGGGAAAGTCGCAATATTGGAATCGTCACGAGGATTGATTACGTTCCAACCGGACATGGGACCGTAACTGACGTCAAGAGACTCGCGTCACCACCCCCTACGATGTCAGTCAATCGAGAAAGTCGAGCAGAAACGCTACTGCACTATAAGCCCTTGAATCTCGCGCCGTTAGCCCTTGGACATTTAGTTTCACAATTCTATTTCAATTATGAGCTCGATACCCTGGCTGTTTATATGGTTGGTGTCACTAAGTGGTACGGTTCCAAGCTTTATCCAACCCATGCAGGAATTACAAGAAACTTCTTCAATACGGCAGCTGCATTGCGAAATATCAGATCTTTACTTGTGATTCCATATGGGGTGTATGGCTACTATCAGGTGGTTTTATCTGAACATCACGAAGTCCACACCAACCATGCTTCTGCTCACTCTTACCTATATGAATTGATTCTTCTAGCCGATTCATTTCTCGAGGGAATCACTTACAATTCGCCGAATCGTCAGAGTAAATTGATTCCCTTTGGTTATACACCACTCATACCCGGCCATTTAAACCCCGTTGGACAGCAATTTGCTCAACATATCCTCGTTGACCCCAGTTCTTGGGAAGATACCAAGAGTAGTTCTTATGGAATGTTCCGGTTACCGGGAGGTCAAGGGATGTTCAATTGGAAATCATGGCTCATCAAGAAGTTTAGATTGAAGCTTCGGTAGTCAATACGACTGAAAGTATTACTGTAGGAATATGACTATTTAATTGGGTCGATTTTGACTCCATAATAATTATTTTACATCGCTGCCATTTTTTCAATCGCTCTTCTTGATATTCCACATTCAGTCGTGATACTTCCAAATATTCATCCATCAAGTGCTGCTCCGAGTAAACTTAATATTCTCCACACGAAGAGTTCCTCTAGAACTCAACAACCGTGTGCACTCAAACCTTTACACCCGCTTTTATTGATTTTTACTTACAGAACCAGCAAGCAATCCTCGAGCTTTTGCTTTACTCTTTTCACAACCTGGATCAACTTTCTCCGGAAAAGCTGTGTTAGTCTGATGCAAAGTCCTCGATCTCTGATCGTGCTTAGAGCTTGTATCTGGCGTCGAATTGTGAACAAGATGGAAGCTTCTGGTATTCGCCCAAGAGGCTCTTAGAGCCAACTCTAAATAAGTCTTATTTTTGTTATAGAAATATTTGATGGGGAAGATACCTCGTCTCGATATTCTCCACCAGGGAATAGCGCTGTCAACATCAAATTATCTGAACAGCGCAGCGGGTCCAGATGTGGGGGAGAACATTTTTCTTTAAATTCTCGTGGACAAAAATTTCGTTCCCCCACAGCACAATTGTTCAAGCATTTCCCATCAAGTGTATTGAATTGCTACATAACACCTCCATTACTATTCGGAACTCCGTGTAAAAGTATGCAGGGATGTACTAGAAACATCACCTCAAAGAGCAAAAGAAATTGCAACTGCCGTGAATCGAACACGAACCTCCACCTTGGAAGGGTGGAATCCTAACCATTGGACCACAGAAGCTATGATATTGTTGTTGAACAAATTGACGAATTTTAAATATCTACAATTGAAGAATAAATGTGGATGGTGTGTGGGCTGTAGTGGAAAGTGGGTGGAGTGGAGTGGAGATTGATTTGGGAAGCGAATGATGATGGGTACGGTGACCGAGTTTGATGTTGTGTTGTGAAAACTTCCAAGAACTCTCCACTTGTTACATGTGAGAATTGTGATATAAATGAATACGTTTTATTTTGTGATTTGATTGGTATTGAAAATCATTTTATGTCTTAAACCCTTTTTTTGAAATCGTACAGTGGACTGTATTATTGACATGATCCCATTGTCGTATGATCGAGTTCCCCTATTGAAATGCGGAATAGAGATATCTAGTCGTCGCTTGCTACTTGGTAAGGTTAAGCGAAAGGGGCGATTGTTAATGGTGGGTTAGATGGTCGTTTTATATTAATTGAAATGCCTTAGATACGTCAATCATAGGTATTCAAAGCGAACTTATCTGTTTTGAGTCTTATTCCTAGCCTTCTCGATTTGTTTTCTCATCGTTAAAAACCTAGATAGGATACAATCTAGTGGACGAGTGTCTTTAAGAGACCCTCGAACCTTAAGATTGAGTGGGATAGGATATTTACAATTTATCCCCTCTTTCGTCCAAGATCCGAAATATCGATGGACTCTAATTCATAACCTATGAAATACTTTTCTAAATCTTATAAGGCATATATTACGATGACGGCTTCCTATTACATGAAACCTGGCGGACCGGAAGTACGCTCAAAGACAGATCCCCCATCGATTATCGTAACTCCAACAAAGACTCCTGCTCATGGTTCCAGTTCGGGCAATGAAATTGTGAGATTCTATAATAAGTATACTAAATCACTTATTAATATCTTAGTAATTAAGAGATATATTGATAATTAATATAACTATATATAATATAATTTTATATTATAAAATTATATTATTATATCTCTTATCAAATCGGTTTATAATAGAATGAGTGAGATGGAATTATATGGAAGATTGTTAATGAACCGGATTAAATCGACTGGTTGTACTTCCTTTTTATGATATAAATGATTTTATAAGATTCGATTTAAATCAATTTTACTTATAAGTATGGAAACTATTAGAATTTGATTATAAACTATATAAGCCTAGGATATTCTTTAAAGAAAACCTCAAAAAAGTAAGCAAATTCACATCAATTCAAACTCTTTCTTATAATTTGACTTCAATTCAACTCTCATACTATATATTCGATTTGTTTCTAAAGCTAAAGTGATTAGATCTTCCACTAATACTAGAATACTAATATTGTTATTATTATTCTAGAGCTAACCTTCAAGAGGAATGGTAGCTGCGAATTTGGTGCTGATGGTTTATTTGTCTGTTTTCGGAGTTTTAAATGGAATGGGATTTTTATTTTGTGATTAGACGAACGGATTGAGAATGGAGGATAATGGTTAGATCGGAGATTGCTAGGACGTTTTATCGTTAGGAGGATTGCAGAAGTGTACAACTAGAGCCTGAAACTTTTATTCTTTATGAATACTTCTAGCTTATGACCATCGTACTGGATCTTTCAACAAATACTCAGTAGAAGTATCTATTAATAGATGGTATGATAATACTTGAAAGATGAGTACCATCGAATCACAATACCCAGTCATTAGTTATTGGGAGTGAATGTTGAAGAATTGGATGACTAGAAAATGTCGAGTCACATAATATTTTTGGTAACACAGGTTTCATTATTTGTACAAAAGAATCTGGGAAGTCATCAAGAAAACTGATTCCAAAGAAACAAAGCGCATGCAAACCCTTCAATCATAGAATTATTACACTTGGCGATAAAGCTGACCACAAGTCGTCCTTTGTGAATTTCCAAAATCAGATATGATCTCCTCACGCTACAACAGAATCATCATCCTTTTCACCCTACTCATCTTTACTTTCGCAAACATTGCTCAAGGAACGTTCTCTATCAGTCTGCCTCAGATAATTACAAGCGAAGGTCTAGCCAATCAAACTCCAGTCAATCCAACTGGAACAAGCAGTTCTCACCTCCTCTCCCACTTTTCACACAGTTCCAGTACCACTACTTGGACATCCGCATCCTCAACCTATACTCAAACTCTGCGTAAGTGTTCATTTACTCTTCTATTATATGAGGAGTCACTAATCAATACCTCTTCCAGCTGGTTGCTGCTTTCGGAGCAATGGAATTCCAGGATCATGCGAGACTCAATCCACGTGTAAACCCCAAAGAGGAAGTCCAGCAACGTCAACTACAGTACCGACTTCAAATCCTACCATATTCGCAACTTCGAGTCCTAATCCAAGTCCAAGCCCAAGTCATAGTTCAGGACAGCGGAGCGTGCAGTGAGATACCTCTCTACTGCGATCATTGGCTATGTTGGGATTGATTTCGATGGTAATGAATTATTTGTGTTTTTGATATTGATATTGACAGGGGACGAACCTGGTGCATTGCGAATAGAAAGTTATATGTGGGAAACACTAGAAATTGTCTGCTCACAGATAGAGAGAAGATTATCTATGGATGAGCTTATTATTGTATGGTAATCGTAATGCCTGGCTTTTGAATAAAACACACAATTGAATGGTAGAGAGCTCAGTGTTTGAAAATTGTTGTGGGCTCGAAGCGTGGATTGGCGCTTGGAATTTACTGTAATGTGAATGTGGCATGGAAAAGTTCACAGATGTGTATTTTGTCAGGTTTAAGGCCACTCTAAAGTCACTGGACCCCCTCATTGATCCACCGGAGGATGCATTCATGCAAATTAAAACATAAAAATCAAACGCTACACCTTAAAAGTGAATCTAATCAAGAAGTCGAAGTCCCAGTAAAAAGTTTGGGTAGGAAAAACTTAGCCGTAGAAAGACCTAAATGACATCAGATACAATGAATGAGAAGGTATACGGTATCTAATAGTCCGCACTAGCAGACATATCACAAGCTTCTACTGTTAGAAAGCTGTATGGTAACTAAAAACCTTTAGAATGTATTAGAATTTACTGGATGGCTCAATTTCTTTCGGAAGTGAAAAGTTTCAGGCCCCTGGACGCAAATTTGGACCGTAGATACCCTCGTGGAAAAATTCACTATAATCATATCACTAATGAACTTCTAAGCGACTTAGGTATATATATTACAGAACAAAAAGCTTCTTAACTTGTACCTGACAACTTTCAATTCTTCCCTTCAAATACCACAGTTGATCCATCGACAAAACCTTGTCGACAGAATAATCAACTGAACATACGGATATCAGTATAAATAACACCCATCAATCACCAACTACAATTTCAGATCATAATCATGGTTTACGCAAGTTTCAAAAACGCGATTTTCCTGTTCATTATTTTCAAACTCGCCTTTCTCTCAGTCGCACAGAGCTTGACCCCGATTCCTCTACCAGAGGCTGTAGTAACCACTTTAGATTTCTCAAGTGACTTCACAGATAGTCAGATTGCTGGATCTTCTAGAACTCTAATCACCAGTTTGGTCATTATTACGGGTGGATTCGAGCCCACTGTCACCCTCACAATTGTGGCTCCTGCACCAACTTCCACCGTCTCTTACAGTTCGACTTCAACTTCTACCTCTATTCTGACCTTCACCTCGTCTCCTGACCCTGTCTCAACATCAAAATCTACCACCGTCACTGCCGCTTCGTCTTCCGCTTCTGTTCCGAATTCGGTCCCGATCACTGGCTCTAGCTCAACTTCCACTTTCACCACCGGTACACAGACCAAGAGTAAGTTTTTAACAGCCATTACAAGGATCAGTTTGAAAATTGCTAATTGAATTAATTTAGGCAACCCTAGCAACACCGCAAGTCCAAATCAGAGCTTGGGACTAAAAAGCATGGATTCTGACTGCCTCTTGATAGTGGTTACAATCGTTTTGGGATTGCTTGTCATTCTGGAATTCTTCATTTAATGTAATCAAGGTAGATCGATGTGTTCATTTGAGGCGAGAAGATTTTATGAGCTATCATGTTGGGAGATGAGCGTTGATGGAGGACCTGATGCTGTAAGATGAATATGTAAATTCCTAAAAATATATTTCCTTTGAATTTTTCATAATATAAAGGATGAATACTATGATAGTATGTGATTCATTGGCATCTGTATGACTGCGTGTATGATTTGGTCTCTGACTACCTTTCACATCGTATCATATCGTGAAAGTGACTCCTAAATATCGAGTGCATGAATCATACCAAAGATAGATGACTCAAGGTTCCCAGAAACGTACACATCAAAAGTATCCCACATGTCTCTCGAAATTCCCTCAACACTGCAATCTAATATTTTATTCATCAAACATCGCATCTTAAAAAGAACCTGTCTCAACAAGCATCACTCGCAAGATACATTGTCTCACACGAAGGTATTTAATCCACTTCTAGCAAAGGTAACTTACAGATACCTTCACAAGAGAACACTTCGTCATCATGATCTTCTCACGCGTCCACATTCTCATCATTTTTCAACTATTCCTCATCTTCACGCTCACTAACTCAGCATCAGTGAAAGGGGGATGGTCGAAGACGACGAAACACAATTCATTAAAATCCTGTGTCTATCAAACACCTGCCGGCTTTGCCGACAACCCCGTTGCAACTAAATCGAAGTATACCGCCACAGTCACTTCTGGCACTACTGTTTCTACTCCAGTTTATGGTAAGGAATCATTCATCCACTTCAAAGCATAGATAACTAATGAAGATCTTTAGATGGCTGTTGTTTCTTGGATAATCCCCCAAAGGAATGTCCCCCTGAAAAATGTGAAGGAGCATGCACTGTGAAGCCGAAAGATGGCAAGAAGAGCTCTGCACAAAGAGGCGTGGAGAAAAGCGAGAGGGTATTGGAGTCTGGATTCCTTGCAGCTATGATATTGTTTCTATTTTGAGATAAATTAGGGTCATGAATGGATATTTGAGGGAATAATAACATGGTATATTACTGCTGATACAGGGCTATACACATGTCTATTTGTCGTAGCACCAGTGGGTGCGGGTCATGGGAATTTAATAGCCTGATTTCGTATTCTTCGAGTACACGTACATAAAAATGGCAATATGAGCACAGTCAAAAGTTTGCATATCTGAGCTCAGAATTTCCTACCTACAGAATTAGAATTGAATCGTAGCCAAGGTGTCACAATTTGTGCCTCGATAAAACTGCTTAGGCGATGGCTGTGATATTAAACGACATGCAATGACCACACACATAAATATATTAGATTCGACGCATGCAATAAAGATAGGAAGGGAATAATTACTGGAAGTGCGACAGCACCCTCAATGACAAACATCAAGTCTCTGTATCACCCCTTCAAGCATCTTTTTTATCAATCTTTTGACCTTCTTACACTTGATAAATGCCAATGTCATTCTAAATCTTCTCACCATGTATAAGAGTCTCCATCGAAGCAAGGAAACCGAAGAATATTTAGCGAATGAGTAGCGAGCCATCAGCTATTACCGGGACACTATACCATTGATGCATGACTTGGTACTTCTATCAATAGAAGTAAGTTTGAATTTAACCGAGAAAGTACTTTATACTAGTATTTTGGTGTACATTTGTGAGTTAAAATAATGTACGTTGATTTGTAGACGTTACAGGGTTTTCAGTGACCAACTTTTGTGGCTTACTGCATGGCTTGGATGTGGAGCATGTTCTTGTGATAGTTGCTTCTGCAATTAACCTTGTAGGATAAAAGGCAGTAAATACAAACTTTGAAGTATTCTTCGATTATCACTAACAAGAATGGATAGAAATACGATGGTAATATGTCAAAATTGTTACAAGCTTCTAGTGCAAGTTGGCATCCAAGCCCATGTGAGATAGCGCACAAAGCCCTGTAAATTACTGAGAACCCTTTAGAACGGGCAAACAAGCTGCATTGAATGTAGTACACACCCAATGTAGCATTGAAGCTAGGAAATACCGAATGAGAATATCAAAAATGATGAAATTGAGGTTGGAAATGTAATATTCGCCAAATAAACAAAAACTCAACGGTATTCAATGCGAAGATGATACCCACAGCTCAACTCCAAGGACTTTGCGCCAGCTATAGTAATCCAGTCTTCCCCTCTTCGAAAGTGCGACCATGTGGCTTTGACATCCTTGTAATCATCACGGTACCTAAGGTAACCTCCGTCTATCTTCTCCGTCTATCTTCAGGTATTTTTGGGATTTTCGGCATGCATATGAAGACAAATTTTGTCGACACGTCTTAAGTCAAAACATCTGCGAAAGAGAAACTCCTCGACTGCGAGACTCTGCAGCCACTTCCACGCCCGATTCATCGTACCGAAGCATTCGCCACTGCGTACGTGTGCGAAGTTCTTCATTGCGGCGATGTCTGACTTTGGTGTGTAAGATATGTCATGAGATCTCTATCATTATGTATTCACTTGAAGCAGGAAATCACATAGAAGATCGTCACACGTCAAAAAACAAGCGAGGACTCACATGAGATTTTACAGTAGTGAATCTGATTCGCAGACGTAATGTATTTAGAACTACTACTCATACCGTGTACACTCTTATTTATTTCACCCAAGGGTTCACCACATTCGGTTTAATAAGTGGCGGTGTCTTGCGAACAGTCTGAAACCAATTTTCTGAATCACCAAATCTCATTCGCCGCAAAGTTTGGCGTCGATACCATTTATTCAAAATTTTGTCAGAGATCATTCAAAAAGCGACTGTTTACCCGTCTGTTTTTATAACAAGCAAGTGATGTTTTCTGTGCCCTAGAAGAGGTTCCGCTCCGTAAAGGTTGCTCATGTTGGCGGAAACAATAGACCTCATAATATGAACCCCGAGAACAAGTTGACGGCGAAGAGATGCAAGAAGCTTTCAGGTCAGGCTCTGGCTAATGAGCTCGAAAAAAGAAATTTCCCATGTGTGGAAGAGAGAACACTTCTCCGAGCTTTTTAATGTTCCCAGAACTCCCTATCGAGATACGAAACAAGATCTGGAAATACTGCTTTCGCGGTCGCAATGTTGAAGTCTGTGTAGATTCTGATGTTTCGGTGGAATAAGATGCGTGCTTGAGACTGAAGTCCGTCATCATCCATCTCAAAATTTTCAATGTCGCACAATCACAGAGTCCAATAACTCTTTTCGTCAACCACGAAAGTCGAATCGAGACACTTAGATACTACTCCAACCTGCTACCAGGTGTCTCGACTTCCCAATCTATTTCCACTACCAGAAAGATTCATTTGCTCTTCATCAGTACTGCTCAGGGCATAATATTCATGGATGCAGATGCAACGTCATGGAGCAACTCTCATGGGGAATTATGTACCTAATTGATAATTCCTCCTCGGTACTGTTGAGCCCAATCAAATCATTGATATTTCCGACTTGCTTCGTGGCATGATGAATCCCCACCGTCCACAACCACAAGGGAACACCTACAGCACGTTCGTTGAACCGCTCCTTACTGAATTCGATTCTTTGCAAGAGATTATATTATAATCATAAGTGGTAAGCCGCAGAGAAAGTCCCGATGCTCTGGATTTGACGACTCAATCGAAGTGCAACATCTGGAGAACTGTCTCACTCATACACTCGAAGCTGAAATGGAAAGAAATCCCTCATTTCAGATTCCAGAAGTCACTATCTACACCGAACCTTTTCTTCTTCCTATGTTTCGCGATGAGATGTAGCAAACATATGAATCCCGAGTCTATGAGAATTACGATTTGAAGGAGACTGTAGATTGGTTTGATTCTAAATATTGACAGGAGATATAGACAGATCAGTTGTAGAGATGTAAATAGTTTTCAGAGAAATAATACATCATCAAAACAATTGCTTGAATGAAATCTTGTCTCGGAGGGTTTTTCTTAGAGCGGTGATTTGCATCAAAATGAATTTCATCCTACCTTATGCCTAGTTTCGATACAAGTCTGATAACTCATTTGAATACCAGAAAGTGTTTCCCAAAGTTCCCACTGCTTGTTTTTTCGTCCAGAAGATATTGGCTTCTAATTCTTCATGCTGCTTCGCCCTATCATTCTGAACTCAAGGGTTTGATGCGGTTAGTAGGACATTAACATTCTTTGTTTCTGCGGAAAATTTGAAATGACATAATTAGTACAGGTCAGTTGTCTGCTCAAGGTATCACAAATCAATAAAAAGGTTTCGAATAACATCGAAATGATAGAAGCAACGAAAAAATCTGTGGTTCACATATTGCTTGTAGAATCTAGCGTGAGAAATGAGAGCAGCTTGAGCGAGAGAAAATAGCATTGTCTGAAAAAGCTTCAAGAGATTGAGAATAGAGATAGCTATGGCTAATTTGGCTGCATGATTGTGCTGGTCCAACAGACTAAAACCATGCCCGATAATATGTGAAAGAGCCACCAGCAGAGACTTGATGAAGAAGAGCCATATTCCGCTCTGGCAACAAGATTAAAGGAACGCTTTTTCATCGGATACCTCACCTGCCTGCTTACGCTGAAGTATCAACCACTCTACCAAAAACTCGGCACTGATGACTTTATCCTTTAGTCCCTCCATGAGCTTTACATCGAGCGCCTCGGTCATAATCTGTCGAATCTTAGTCGAACTAACACCATTTGATGCACTGTGTTGTGAGGCACGAAATTGTATCATCGGCTTCCCAGGAATGGTCAAGGCCTGACATGTCCACAAGAATCCGGCCCCATCGTCGATGATCTCCTCTATCCCATCAGACTTCTCCGTATCTCTCTCCCATTTTGTACAACCTGGTAAATCTCTTGGAATCTTCTCTGTCTTCGGATCAAAGAAGTCAACTGGCCTCCTTGCATTAATGATAAGAAATTCATCAACCGGACCCCATTCCTGCAAGTTTCCCGGATGTACATGTGGCGCGCTTTCCACCGTCAACTTATCCCCACCCAGAAGTCCTACCAACTTAACGGCATAGCCAGATTCCGAAATCAAATCAGTTGTCGCCCGTAAAACCTTAATGTGATTATCCATGTCTCCCACCAAGAGCTGAAGCCATCCAGATGCAACGAGTTGAGAAATCTCTGGGACTTTGTAGAAAATTTCGTAGCGGAAATTTTGTGGAAGGACAATATCACCCCATTTCTTCTTTCTGCCTTTGACAATCGAACCAGGATCCACGAAGAGGAACATAGTGGTGATACCGAGTTGCTCGCGACGCTCCGAAAAATAGCGGATCGTGGCTAGATGACCTTGGTGGGGTGGGTTGAAAGAGCCTGGATAGAGAAGGATATTGTTTCTGGCATTTGATTTGAGAATTGGCCATGAGATCGAGCTATTGTGCGGAATAATATTGCAATCGCTTTCTGAGATGGGTGAAAAGAGGCATGCTGGGGTCTCTCCTGTATTGAAAGAACTTTCCAAGGCTTTTTGTAAAAAGGGCTCAATGGTGCTTGGTGGAACTTGATCAACATTTTTCGTAACTGCAGAAACTTTTGGATTTGTATCTTCAGCTGCAACCTGATGATCGAAGAAGGAGTCATTGGTAGTGGTAGCCATAACGAATGTTTACCTCTAAAAATTCTGGAAGATTGGTGGAAAACGTTAGGTTGGAATGGTTGGAGGCTGCATACTTCGAAAGTGATCAAATTTAGTTGATATTTTTATACCAGACCTCTCAGTAGTTCGTTTTGAAAGACCAGTGAACCCAGATCTGCTCTCTATCACTTTGTAAGATTTGAATTTTACATTGGTTTTTCTAATTTGTTGTCCTGTATTTGGAGGAATTGTAATTGTGGTGAATTAGGATCTAGAGTGAAGTAAAGCTGAGTCTATTAGCGCCGGTAACTCTTTTTGACTGGCCGTTTCTTTTTTGCAAATTTCGTGAAGAAAAAGTACTGATGAGTGGGAGCTCGCATTCTTTACCTAATCTAATTTTTTTAGAGCAGATTACCATGCGATCTACTCTTGTCTACTGGTCAAAGCAACATACCAGATCCTTTAACCAACTTGAGTTTGCTGGTCAGCCTTTAGCTTCTCTTATCACAATCTTTGTGTATATTCAATATTATCTAGACAAAAGAAAGTGAATGGCACATTCTCGCACCGCTTATGGACATCACCCCAAAATATATTCAAGGAGTCAAAGACCAGAAATTGAGACTTTATGAGACATTTACGTCTTCGGAAAGGGGTTTTTTTTTTCATTTCCAAATGTGAATCACTATAAGAGGGGTTGCAAATATGGAAACATCGATTGTTTGATTTGGAGATCTTATAAAGTGAGCTGCTAGTGTCAAATATAGTGTGAATTTGATGCACACAGAAAGAGAATCACGGGTATTCAAATCCATGTAAAAATCTCTATTGGGTAATAAGAGGCTCGAGAAGTATCAGAATACAGCAGATGCAGTGAATCTATGTTCTTATATGATTGACCCCATCCTCTTCAGTGAATACTCGAGCTCGCTTGTCCTCAAGATCATTAACAAAACCATCTTTGGTCATAAAGTTGACCAAGGTTGATTTCAAGAAACTCAAAATACTCTAGAGGGTTGAATTCCAGATATTTCCTAACGCAAGGATAAGTATCAAACTATTTAGCAAACAAACGCTTACATCTCCGAGATGTTGAAAGACGACATTAAATCTCGATTTACCAAGTCCCTGGGACTTGGAAAAGCTTTCGTGGCCCTCTCCAGAACTTCTTCTCTCACTGTAGCCAGTATCAAGAAGAAATGTAAGTTATTTTTTCCAAGCTAAATGATAAATTCTTAACCGTTACTACTTCCACAGTCAAACCAGGTGTAAAGACCTCACATTTACCCAACAGGGCAAAAGACAATCTACCCAGTGAGGCAAAAGACAAGAAGCAGAAAAAGCCCACCCTAGCAAAAAATAAACAATCCAAGAAGAAAGCTAACAAGAAGAATTCTAATCAAAAGAAGTCGGACAAGAGGAGGTCTGAGAAGAGAAAGAAGGTGGATGACAAGAAATCAACGAAGGATAAGCGAACCTTCAATGTACCTAAGTGTGGATCGAAAGTACGTATGGAAAAGAGAACAAGATCTAGCAAAGTAAAGAAGGTGGTAAACTTGCCAAAAGTCTCTTACATGAAATTGAAAAACTTCTGTAAGTAGAATCATTCTGCTCCCCATCTCACAGAGATTTTTTAACAATGATTTCCTATAGTGAAACCAATTCGCGTTTATTTTTATTACACATACTTGTACCAGCGATTGGGGAATCCAAAATATCCCCTTTATGATAAAGAGTCCTTTCCTTGGACAAAAGAAGGACGAGAACAACAACTTGGACTGACTGGATTCAAGTTTTTTCACAAACTTCCGAAGGAGATCCGATCTATGATATGGAGAGCAACATTTAACACTCGCATTGTCGTAGTGGAAGTTAATATTGCAATGGATACCGAAATTCGAAAGATGAAACTTGTTGGAGCACACATGACCATCCCACTCGCTTTGAGCGTTTGCCGAGAAAGTCGAGCTGAAGCACTTTTGTGGTACAAAGATCTGGTCCCCGAACATGTTAGGCCCATATACTTTCATCCTACGCTTGATTCCTTCGCAATCAGAGCAATGAAGGTTGCTCGTAATGCAAACCCGAAGAAAAGATGGGCAGAAGTCACTCACTTCGTCAAAGATATTCTGTACTTCCTGGGTTATATGGGTTCGCTATATCAACAAATTCCGAAGTTCGTTCGATGCATCACTATCCCGAGGGCATGCTGGAGTGACGATCGATATTGGGATACGAGAATGCAGTTGGCATGGAATGAAGGTTGGGGCTATCAGGGATTGAAGGAGATTGTCGTCTTAGAATTCCGTGACAACACAGGCAAACATCTCAAGCATGAGAAGTTTCTTGAAAGTTACTTTGAAATCATAACGAGGACGCATCCTGACTGCGTTGTGCCAAGAATTCGAATTATTCTAGATCGTTTGGGCCACTTGCCTTACACTAGTCAGTCATTCCCTGCGATTATGGGGGAGGGAAGGTATGAGGATATTGATGCAAATCATGGCGGCCTTCGTAGGTGCAATTCATGTTGGGTTAAGTGGTTTGAGTCGGATTTCTGAGCAAGAATAGACGTAGGCACGATAATAGGAAGTAGATTTGTACATAAACAAGCCCATAGGTAGAACGGCAATTACTTCTAAGGGATACTGATATGATGTTATGACAACAAGGTGGCACACACAGTTTTTTTTCATGAGATATCATTTACCATCTAGAATTTATTCGCTACAAGTGTGATCCCCCCCATTCTGCTCACATTCTCGGGAAACAGCCTTTCTAATTCCACATACCTCGATCAATTGATAAACTGACAATTTTTGTTATAAAGAGACCCGAAATGTAATTGCATGCTTAATCGGATGTCGTTAGTGAACTGATGACCTCCACTACCCAGAAAATGTGAAAAAGAAAAAAAAAAGACACTTGTCAGCCAAGGCCTTGGTCGACGATCGCCGCTGGTTAACAATTGGTTCGAGTGATTGACAAAAACTAGACCCAATTGTCTTCGACTACATCACTCTTACTATCAAAATTTCCCAAAGTAATCAGATTAACTAAAAAGCCGTTGAAGCTACTTTATCATACCTCACCCACCAAGTGGACAGACAATCCTTTAGTGTCGCAGAGCAAATGTAGTTAATCAAGCACACCATTTAACTATAAATTAAAACTGATTTCCACAACTTCTTCTTCATCTTTTCTCTGTTCATGACGAACATGAATTACTGGCATGTCTTCTCTCACTTATTAACCAAGTATCGTAAATTCGTCTACTTTTATATCAAATTCGTCGTTTACAGAACTTCTCAGCTGAAACCACTTTCACACAGTTCAGAAGCAGTCAATCAGTTCATTGGACTTCTGTAGCTATTATCGATTGACTCGAAATCATCCTCATAATTTTATTTGCATTGACGATATGGTGCAATATTCCCATGTCCCCGGTGGCTTGAAGCCAAAAGAAGAGTTGTCGTCTCTAAAGCTCTTGCCAAACTTTCCCCTCGCAGTATCTCTGAACGACGTAAGTATCCGCTTCTAGATCCAGCCCCTTCCCACAACCCTGGAAGCAAATCTTTATTTCAGCATGGTAGATCTGTGCACATGGATAGAATCTGACAGACAACCTAGGTCACTACAAGCCCTTCGTAGCAAAGCCGGTCGATCCGGAGTCCATTTGCTTTACAAACCTTCCTTGCGAGATTCGTTTAATGATTTGGCGCGCTTGCCTCGAATCTCGTGTAGTTACTATATGCGCTCACCCTCGCCGTAACTGGTTGGAAAACTCGGGCGACTACGAACAGGCCATATCATCAATCCACGCGACCTTGCCAATAACTCTTAGCATCAACAAAGAAAGTCGATTCGAAACTCTTCTTCACTACTCCGACTTGATTCAGAACCCTGAATTCTTTCGTGAACCAGTATATTTCAACCCAAAGCTTGATAAGCTCGCCATACACCTAGTCCATAAAGGCAAATCCTCTCCTGGTCTCCCCCAGCTCTACTATCGTGGTAGAAAATGGCGTATAACGGCTGCTCAATGTTTATGCGAAACCTTTCGTACTTTGGCCGCAATTGCGGTACACTCACCAAGTATGTGCAAGTTGGTGCGTTTCCTCATATCTCCCCAAGGAGTTTTCTGCTTCCCATGCAAAGATTGGGACATTCGATACCGTCAGTATTTCAAAGTGATGGAAAAATTTCATGAGTTGAACACCATCGTACACCAGTCGCCTAATGTTAATGGGACAATGGTCCTCGAGAACATTTCGAAACAAGGCAGGCGGAGCTTGAAAAGTCCCGCCTGGGAAGCCATCAAATCAATGGAAAATTTCGAAGATAAAGATTGGCGGATCATGCGAACAGATGACTACAATGTACCCTTGGTATTCTCAAAAACACGCCATGGCAGATCTACAAAACTTATCTAAAAGAGAATTTGTGTGAATTGTCACATGCAGCTCAGCCAAATCGTTTTCGTGTTCCAGTTTTAACTCATGTCTTCATAACTACAATACTTCTACTCTGTTTGTTTAGCCACCCGCTCGCGTCAAATCGCGTGGTTCTCATGGTTGCATTCATGATGGAAAGTTAGCACCAGATATTTGGGAAAACTAAAAATATCTATTCACTATGATGGACTAGTCATATTTTTGAACTCCCAAAGCTTTTTATCGATCAATGTTTTCTTCGACATACTCTCATATATCATGTAAAGATACTCGTCTTCTTACCAATCATCAGATACGGCATACCTGTATAGTACCTGTCAAAAATTATACGGTCTTTCGAATGGCTGAATCACGAATACGGTATTGTTTTACTTACATTCTAGACTCTTTCACAGTCTACCTAGGTATATATGCTCTATCAGCCTATTCATCCGTTGCTATTCCCGCTCTGTTGAGCAGATTTCGACTCTTCTACATCTTAATCTACAACCTCTACTCAACAACACACCAAACTGCATACTCATTTCTCCAGCCGAGACCAACATCTAGTTACCAAATCTTTCATTCAATATAGTCTAACATTCTAGTATTCACGGTGCATATAGTCCCCAGAAAAGAAGTTGTTCTTTAAACATCCTCTTCTTGATGTTAGGCTCGATGTTAGGGTCCCTTTTTCGCATCCTCAAGCATTCTTGTAAGTATAATCTTCAACATTTTTATTCGCTCTGTAATCATATCTAAATCGCTGCAGAAGTTGAAGAATCATTCAAAATAACGGAAGGAAATTCGATGCGCAAAATACAGAGATCGAATGGAAGTGATTGCACCGACTTGATAAGAGCTAGAAGATGCTAGCTCTGTCTTGTTCAAAGCTCACTAAAGCAGTCTCCTTCACCTTTTCAGCTATTCACTCCTCTCTATATAAAGCTAATATAAATTTACAGTCCCACTCACAAGGCCCAAAACAATAACGCAGGTGGCTGTGGCTGTACCTAGGAAAGAGTTGTCGTTCACATGCTTCCCTCGACTCCCCTTAGAGCTCCGCCTCAAAATATGGCAATTAGCATTCGAAGGACGGACCGTGACTCTACACGTTCACACTGCCAATCAATCTTGCCACTATCGTTCTTTCATATCAAGAGGACTAAAACTCACTCTCGATTCAGTACACGCAAACATGGCCAAGACCCTTCGGGTAAATCAAGAAAGCCGGAATGAAACCCTTTCTCAATATACGGATCTAATTCAGAATCCAGCGCTATTCCGCGATCCGCTGTACTTCCATTCGGATCTCGATACCTTGGCTTTGGAAGTATACTATCCAACACGACCCGGGAAAGATAGAAGTTGGGTCCGTCAGAGAGGTTCTCGCAATCACCAAAAGATCTCTCTGGATCTGAGGGGCTTAGCAGAGCGCGCACCGAATATGCTAAAAGTAGTCAAGTCTCTCTATCTTCCTATGATCATGCTCGAGGAGGAGCCTGCCGCACCTGACAGAGGGAAATTGCCGTCATGCTGGAATGGCATGGTACAATTCCATGCATTAGAATTGGTTACGATCACAGGAGAAGAAAGCGACTTCCAGCACGGTATTCCAACGGCTCGCGCAAAGAGCGCTGCCAAATACTTCCAGTCTTGTTTCGAGAAAGAAAAAAGTCAATTCCCTGACTGCCATATACCGAGATTGGATATGTTCCCACTGGACGAGGAAAAGGAGAAAACGACGGGTTCAAATGATTACTTTCAGTTCGCGGGAAACGGTCTCTTCGAAGACGATGTCGTTGGAGGATCGTGGACTTTATGGTTTCGGGAACCAAAAGATTATTCCGTGGTCGATAGTAGTAAGGAGCGATATGATGGTGGATTCGTTGAAGAAAGCATTCAAGATATTGATGCGAGCAACAACGGAGAAAAGAGACGGAATCACACTAGCAGAACATTTGGAGAAGTAAATGATGGAGTCACCGTGGCGAGTGAGTTTAATAATTCGAGATGGTCAACTGAGGATGAGGAATAATCGGGATTCAGTCCAGGGAATGTGGATTTGTAGAATAATCTCGGTGTTCATATGTTCCATGTGTTGAATGGGGTTTCTGAATGAAGCAGATATTTAATGGGAAGGAAGATGTATATTTATGCATAGAGAGATTTATGACCAGCTGGACATAGTAATAGTTTCTAGCAATAATTTTAAGTTAATAACAACCATCACCGAGGTACCTCGATACCTCACACAGTGAAACCATTCGAGACCTCCACAAAGTATCACCATAAGATTCACTTGAGTTAAGATAATTGAAATTCAAGAATCTGATAACAGACTAAGACCATTGAAGGCCGTGTATGAGTACCAGCAATTGATGAAGTATGGATATCATTCTCAGTGAAAACTGGTAGTGTATTAAGAGTGCGTTCGGTTCGTTTTCTTATTTGATTGAAGAAATTTATAATGTTGTTAAAATAGTAAGAGTATTGAGGCTAATATATTTGAGGTAATATTAAATACAATAATAACCCCATATAGCATTATTCTATATATTAATACCTCAAATATCAAAAGTGCTAATTGGGATTTAACACATACTATTTCAGATCATTTTGATTTTCAAAATATTACTATTCTAATCTCAATTTGAAAAATACTAATTTGATCTAAATTCATAGGGATATTAATATTCTAATTTCAATTAAAAATGTTAATCTAATCTAAATTTATAGGGATATTGATATTCTAATTTTAATTTAAAAAGTGTTAGTTTGGTTTAAATTTATAAAAATATTGATATTTTGGTTTTAAATTCAAAAATAATATTAGTTTAAATATAATATAAAATTTAGATTTTCTGCTTAAACTATAATCAATTAGATTAGGAAATCAAATTCTAGTTTTAAATTAAACCTTAAAGTTTCTATTTTTTGAATGAATTTTACTTTACTTTATATTCCTCATTTTTATTAATATATTTTTTAAATATTCTTCTTTCTTTTTGATTTTGATATATAATTAATACTCTTAATAAAATATTTAATTTCAATAAAGATTTATTTTGAAAAAGGAAAAAAGGATTAATTAAAAAGCTTTGAGAAAGACAAATATTTATAGAATTTGATATATAAATATCTAAAAGCTTTTGAGGTATAAGGCTTTGAGGTGGAAAACTTAAGAAACTCGAGGGATAAACAAATTAATTAAAAGATTCAAAAAGTGTAGAAAATATTAGAAATTCTATTATTATTAATAATAATTAATATGTGATTTCTAAATAAATAAAAAAGAAATATTTTAAATTAATTTCAAATCTTTTATAAATATTAATAAAACAAATTGTAAAACTTTAAACTCTACTATTTTAATCTTACTTTTTTTTTCAAGTTTTACAACCTTCTTTATGCTACTCTAAATTCTCTTTTTAAAAATTGAACAATATTGTTTATTTAAATCTAATTTCAAAATAATAATTATTATTCGTATTTCCTCAACTTTATAATCAAATTTAGATAACGTAACGTATGGGGAACTCGGACATATGGGGAACTCGGACACTTTTAGCCCATCACCAACTTGAAACCGCAATAACTTTTATTATGCATACCCAATCACCTTCTACATCTGCTCAAATTGAAGAGAAGCTTCAAAAGGCTATAATTTCACTTCAATTGAAAGAATTTAAATCAATTAGAAAGGCTGCAGAGCATTTTGAAGTCCCTAAGTCTACCCTAGCTGATAGGCTGGCTGGGAAGAAAACACGTTCCCAAACCCACGAAATGGCTCAAATTCTTTCAAACGCAGAAGAAAATACTCTTGTACGATGGATTTCACGACTTACCATCACTGGATTCCCTGCTACACCTATGTTGGTGAAGGAAATGGCCGACGAAATTCGTCTTCGACGCGTTCGGGTCGCGTCATCTCGAAATCCTACCTCGACAGAAATTCCACCTATAGGCCACGAATGGATCTATAGATTCCAAAAACGACATCCAGAACTTAAAACATGCTATTCACGTCAATTAGAGTCTAATCGGGCTAAAGAAGCAACTCCGGAGAATATTCAGGCTTGGTTTGACGCGTTTCGCACGCGTCTCATTGAGCGAAAGTATGAATTAGATGATATGTATAATATGGATGAAACCGGATTTGGAGTTGGAAGTACTCAAAGTACGCGCATTATAGTCGATTCTACTCAGAAATCGAATTGGAAAGTTACAGCTGGCAAGCAAGAATGGATAACTGCATTTGAATGTGTCAATGCAGCTGGAAATGCTCTATCACCTATGGTCATTTTCAAGGCTCAGAATACGAATTCTGCATGGATTCCAAAGGACACACCTCAAAGCTGGCAGTTCTCTACTAGTACAAATGGATGGACCTCAAATAGCCATGGATTAGAATGGTTAAAAAGGGTTTTCGAACCAGAATCCAAGAAAGTGTCAGGTGACCGACCTCGACTTTTGATCATGGATGGCCATTCAAGCCATATTACAGGTAGCTTTATTGCTTTCTGTATAGATAATGATATTGATTTACTTATATTACCTCCTCATTGCTCTCACTTGCTTCAGCCACTTGATATTGCGGTGTATGGGCCAATGAAACGATATCATGCTTTAGAGGTCGATCGATATTCTCGAGCTGGTGTAAAGCGAATCCAAAGAGCTGAATGGGTAGAACTCTTTCAAAATATTAGAAAAAAAGCATTGAATTCTTCTAATATTAAAGCTGGCTGGAGAGGAGCTGGTTTAGTACCTTTTGCCCCACGAAAAGTACTCGATTCATTACCATTTAACTCCTCCCAGCAACCTTCTACTCCACAAATGAGAACCCCCAATCAAGACCTAGACTTGTCTATACTCAGGAGTTCTCCTCCAGATGGAACAGAGCTAAGGCAAGCAAATCAGATCTTTAATACAGCTCTAGCAAGCAGTGGTTCTCCTGCATCGCCAACTCGTCGATATGCCAAGAGAATGACTAGGCTTGTAGAATCTCAAAATGCTGAGATAGCCCTACTTCGGAAACAGCTCTCTGATGCTCAGGAGGTAATTGAGACTCGAAAGAAAGAACTAAAGGCAAAAGAGTCAAATTACAAGGTCAATTTGTCTTTAGTACTAAGGAAGTATTGAAAATGGTACGTGAGGCGGAGGAAAAACCGAAGGAGAAAAAGCCACGAGGACGGCCACGCAAACGCCCAATTGAAGAATCAGAAGAAGAGATTGAAGAAGAAGAGCTAGAGAATAGTTCAAGTGATTCGGAATTGGAATTGGAGGATTGTGTGGCTCGTAGAACAAGATCGCGTGTAGAATAATTGAAAAAGTGTCCGAGTTCCCCATATGTCCGAGTTCCCCATACGTTACGTTATATCTTTTTTTATAATATAATCTAATATAAATTGAAATAATCTAAATAAATTACTTTAGTATTTATATTATAAAGAACTTTATTAATCATTGTGAACTCTAAGCTTTTATTGTTTAATATTAATTTAACCTAAAAATGAAAGTTTTTTTAATCAAATAATATTGCCTTTTTTGTTACATAAAAACCAGACAAATAATATTAATTATTGTAAAATTACCTTTTAACATTATTCTTTTTATTCAGTAAATATATTATCCAAAGTTTATTCTACTTTCTTTTTACAATTTCTTCATATTTATATTCTTAGACTTTTATTCTCTTAATAATCTTTCTCTTTTTTTTTTTTTTTTTTTTAAAGCTATTGGAATTAATTCTACTTTAATTATTTATCTCACTGTTCTACCATTTCCTATATCTATATTTTCCATATTCTCGCCTCCCTATAACATCTATATCTAATAATATCTATATCTACACATCTATATCTACATCATTTATATCTATATCTCCTTCCTCTTTATAATTATTGTTTTAACATATTCTAATATATTTATTACTTTTATTATCAATTTCATTTGTATTTATTTATAATACATTTCCAATTCTTCTCTTTCTTATTAGCTTTAAAAAAGTTATTTAATCCTTCCTATACTCATTAATATCGTTTACAAATAATAATGTATCGGCTATAAGTATTCAAATCAACAAAAATTGATTTATTAAGATTTTTAGTTTAATCAAATAAAATTCAATTATTATTATTATTATTATCCCGATTTTTTTATTAGAATTATAATTAAAGCCAAATTCAGTTTCACTATTATCAATATTATTTGGATTTAATTGAAAATCAATCAAATCTAATTAAAAATTAATCAAATCTAATTAAAATCTGGTTGAGAATTTAATTTAGAATTTGATTAAGGATTTAATAAAATATTATCTTCATTTTGATAATTTCAATTTAACAATCTTTAATATATTAAGCTTTACTATTAATAATAAACTCAAAAGAACAAATTCGATTGTTATAATCTAATTTAATATTATAAAAATTATATATGTTGTTTATATAAGCAGAATCTCTTCTTTTGTTTCTTTAAATTTGCTTCTTTTTTAAACAATCTATTATATAGAATTATAAAGGAGAAAGAATTATAGGATCTTTAGCTAATTCATTATATTA